ACACCTCCAGCATTGGTTTTATTTCTAATTTGACTTTCAAGCTTCCACTCGCCTAAACTTTTGATTCCTTGCCTTCTTTCATGTGACCACAAAGCAACCCTAACGAGCCACCTGGCCGGTTGCCAGTTTTATTTGTTAATACGTCTAGAGATTGTATGTCTGGTGTAAGCAAAGCTCAGAGGCCGTTCGGGGTGCTCTGAGAACCGGTGCGATCATCTGTTCCCCAACCCCGTCCCCGTCCCACAGGACATTAAATCAACCGCACAGTATGTAATCGAAGATCTTTGTTTGAATGCTAATCTGCATTGGAATACATTTACCTGTACTATCACCGAAAAGACGATCCCAGGCCACCCCGAATTCCATCCGACCCCGTAACTGGACCTCGCCGTGTGTGTGTGTGTGTGTTTGGGCGAAGGGCGAGATGAGACTTCAACTTTGGCGCATTCTCATTCGCTTCCAAATTGATTTGGTCATGGTACATGCCCACCTGCGCACGTGCACCCCCGTCCCGCTTGATGCGATTTTTATTGTTTCTCTCTTCTCTCTTTCTATCACTTCTGTTGGTATTACTTGTTCAAATTGGACACGGTGTTTCTCTTTCTCTCTCTCTCATCCCAATGGTGGTACTCAGCTCGTTTTCTAAATCTCAGGTCTGGGGGAAGCTAGATTGCAAACGCACTAAAATCTTACACCGAATAGTATAGTATGATTGGCTGGTCAAATTTTCCGCTGAAGAATACGACCGAATTCTCTCTCTCGCGCGCGTGTGTGTTTGACGAGCGACAAGAACCGCGAGACTGATCGTGTTCTTCTGAGACCGGTCTTCTCAGAAATCCTGTACTACTTAATATGAAATCATCGACAATCGGATTTAGTCTACTGGGGCCGGACGCATCTACAGTGATTCTCTCAGTCTGATCTGTCTCCTCTCCTTTAGATAATATGTTTGCTACAATTAAGTCTATCATACAAAAAGCCGTTTTTCACGTCACAACTTACAGAACTGTTTAGTACGAATTCCGCGACAATCCGGACATCAATTCGCACATGTTCTCTGAAAACTGTTCTGTTCCATCTGGGTCTGGCAGTGACAAGTCATCCAAAAGCAAATTATCCCTGCATCGTCCAGACTACTACACCTTTCCCCATCAAGCTTTAGCCAAAACCGGCAATTCTTTAGCCACAACCGGCGTAGCCCTTTAGCCTCGATGCACATCTTTCTGTCACTGTTTTGCATTCATAAGGGAACTGTTCATGAGATATGGATACAAAAACATACTGTGGATAATACACATCGTTCACAAAAGATGCTCCATTAATCACAACTTTTTCCATCAGTCTTTCGATGAAACCCGTAATACTTGAGTCTGGACCTGTGGGAATTCGGTACTAATCAACTGATGCGTAGTAATGGGGAGGGTGTATTTTTGTGAACGGTGTTCATTATCCTCGGATTGGTAATGTATCCATCTATCATGAACAGAGTACACTTTAGGAGGAGATACGAAATAGTGAGCATGTACATTTTTGTGGTATCATTTTTTAATTTACTTGAGGTCTTGTGAAGACCAAGCATCAGTTGATTAGTACTACAACATTTGACCGAATTTCCACAGGTCTAGACTCAAGTATTACGGGTTTCATTGAAAGACTGATGGAAAAAGTTGTGATTAATGGAGTATCTTTTGCGTTATTCACAGTATGTTACTGTATCCATATCTCACGAATAAAGTTCCCTTGTGAATGCATAACAATGACTGAAAGTTGTGCGTCGAGGCTAAAGGGCTACGCCGGTTGTAGCTAAAGAATTGCGGGTTTTGGCTAAAGGAATATGGATCAAGGCTAAAAGATTGTTAGTTATGACTAAAGCTTGATGGAAAAAGTTGTATTCACCGAAGCTGCCAATGTTTTGTGTACCGAATAAACTGCAGAGCAAAATGTGCTCATTGTGACAGAAGAAACTTTGTTTGCTGTCCACTGAAACAGATGGAGCAAAAATTGCCTCATTCTCATCACATGTCCTTTTCGTCTCGTTTTATTTTTCCGCATCACACAGTCGAAAACCAGTTCTCAAATGGTTTCGTGCTTGGGTCATAGCCCGATTTGATGCATTCCTCTGGAAACCGTTTGGAGATTTAAAAAAACCGGTGATGGTTTATCGTACACCATCGGGTAGAGAACTCTTGGATGAAACATCTATCTAGCAGCCATCTTTTTCATCAGCATATCCACAAAATGGACGGTAGGCCATCTGACTGTGCTAAGTAAACGAATACAATATGTCTGAAAGACAAATGCTGTTCAATGTATTTAGTTTATATCATTGTCAGCTCCAAAAATCGGGCAATTATCTACCAGCTAAAAGAAGACGATGTGCAACAACAGAGCGCATAGGTGAGCGTTAGTCACGAGGAGACATAGTCTACTGTACGTGTGCAGGTTGATTGTGCAAGCAGTCAGATAAGTGGGACAGGCTTGACTTGCGGCAGACAATGGTGTGTTCATCGACAGGAGCGCAACAGACACCGTGTCGCGTGTCAGTACGTGAGAGTCTTGTGTTGTGAACATCCCATAAAGACTGTATTGTGATAGTCAACAACTAACGGCATAGACAGTTGTGCCTCGAAAACTCATCAGTGGTGAACCTCTGATTCAGAATCCCTGTCGGAACTCGAACCGCGAATCTCCGAATTGGGGATCGAAACCCTCCATCCGGAGCCAAATTGTGCACTAACGACAGATAGAGGGCATGTAAACAAAACTTACGCAAATCTGAAGAGTCAGTCTCAACAGGGACAGAACAAGTGTTCACTGATTCTGGTCGGCCATCGCACACCAGATTCCATCACAAATAAGATAAATATGAGTTAGGAACCGCGAAACTATCAAAAAGAACAGTGCATAGACTGCGGTATCCGAGACCTCGTATAAACGTTGTTGAAGACGTCTCTAACTACAAATGAAGCTCATCTTAAATTATTATGCCCCGTGTATTCAGGGACGGTGGATGATATGTCACTCTCCCTCATACATTTGAAGTAACAAGATGTGATAGAATGGAACTGATGACCAAATGTGATGGAAGTCCTTTTGATGTCCGACAAAGAGCAATGAAGAACTGTTTCGTTTTGTTTTTGCGACTCGTTAGCAGTGCGTACACTTTGTGTCCCCTTCAGGATTCGAACCACAAAACTCCAGGTTAGGAGTCAACATCCTTACCCCTCACAGGGCTTGGTACATGTGAAAACCCGGTCTAATACAGACATTCACTGCCTCATTTGCTTGAGTCACAAGGTGGTGGTGCAGTCGTTTAGTCGCTCTCACCGACGTGCTTTGGATCCTATGATCCGAGGTTCGAACTCCGCCACTACCACCTAACTTTGGTGGGAGACAGATTTGCTGTCACCACGTTCTATATCACGCCTACACTATTTGGGCTTTATTGGGCTCACCCATCCAAGTCCCGTGGCTTATGTTACCGGTTTCTACCACTAAATAGAAGGTTTTCATGTTTTTTATCACTCAGCAGTGTGTAATAAAATGGATGATGATCATCGACCGTGTAGCTTAAGAGTGTTGACTCCCAACTCGAAGGTTTGGGATGCGAGTCCTGACAGGGACAGAAAAGGTACACACTACTGATGAGTCCAAAGCAGGATGAAACAACTATTCAGTGCTCTTTGTGTCGGTCATCACCAAGAGTTCCCAAATAATCGTCTTTTGATAAAGTTGCTCGTCCGGATAGTGATTTCACTGGAAATGGCTGGTAGGAATTCATTTACTGCATAAAAATGCATGCTTTTTGTAAGGTAGGCGTGGGAACGCACATAGAAAATGATTGGTAGAGTGAATCATTTTCAAACCCTTCGATTGGCTGCCGGTTCCGACCAATCATATGAGTTCTGTTACCTTTGTGCTGGTCGGTTGTC